TGTGTCCCGAGGGCCTCCCGTGTGTCCTGCCGTGGGCATGGCAGTTGTTCCTTGTTCCTCACAGCTGTTCCATGGTCTTCACGGTCCTTCCGTGGTCCTGGCAGTCATTCCTTGATCCTTGCAGGCGTTCCATGGTCCTGGCAGTCGTTCTGTGCTCCTCCCCTTCTGTGGCAGTGACTTTGCACTGAGACTTCACCCCTTGCCCTGCTCCTCTCTCTCATCATCCCAAGAAGGTTCAAACTCCAAACAGTGACTCACTGGCCACAGCACATCTGGAAAAATGGCTTTGTGTGGAAAATCCCCCCTTTCCCCTTTCTCCTTTCCCCTTTCTCCTTTCCCCTTTCTCCTTTCCCCTTTTTCCCTTTTCCCTTTTCCCTTTTCCCTTTTCCCTTTTCCCTTTTCCCTTTTCCCTTTTCCCTTCCCTTCCCTTCCCTTCCCTTCCCGACCTCTATCCTGTTAATTTGCATGTAATTCCCATGTATTGCATCACATCCCTGCTATTCCCATGAGAAGTTCCAAGCTCCTCCCCTTTCTCTGGACCTGCTGTGGCTTTCCCAAGAAAAGGCATTTTGCTCCCTCGGACACCTCCAGCTCTGAGCCCTCGGAGCCCTGAGCTCTCCAGGGCACAGCACTGATCCAGGGGGAGTTCCAGTGTAATCCCAGGGCCTTGGATTTAGTCTGGAAGGAGCCATTGCTTCTCATTCCAGCTTGGAGCCAAGTCCTGTTCCATCCCCAGCTCACCAGGAGACAGGGAAGGGAACATCCTGCATCCAGCCCACGCTGTGCGGACAGTGACCATTCCCAAATATCCCACTGAGTGCCTTAAATCCATCCAGACCCCAGCAAAGGTATTTCTGTTCCCTCTTACACCTCTCAGCTGCTTATCCCTGTGTCCCAGTCAGTCCATCCCTGTTTCCCAGTCAGTCCATCCCTGTGTCCCAATCAGTCCATCCCTGGTGTCATCCCAGAGCCCCGGCTGCAATTCCAGCTCCCAGTGGAGCCAGACAGGACTTGGTCACTGGGAGCTGCCCCAGGGACCCCCAAGGATTCAGAAGGACCCCCAAGGCCCCTTCCCCTCCCTTGCTGGACTTGCCCTGGATTCGGGATGCAGGGATAATGTAGTGTCTGTGTCCTGCCATCAGCTCCAGATGGATCCCAGCTCCAACCTGGGCATCGGATCTGTCCGAGCGGGAGAGAAACTGGGCTTAAAAGCACCAAAAAAATGGATTATCCCTCTTTTTCTGCTTGAATAGAACTAATATTTAATACCAAATATTTTATTATTTAAGCTGTAATTTAAATTAAGACCTCCCTGGCCTGTAAATATTTTCCCCTTGTGGAATATAAATATTCCTCTGATGAATTTTGGGGTTTTTTTTTTTGCAATGAAAAATGATTTTCCAGCCCAAACAGTCCCAGAGAAATCCTTGAAGAGCTTTTGCCTCTTAAAATGGTTCATCCCTTCCGTTGCAGCCGATGCCAAGAGCAGAGAACACCGGGAATATTGTATGGAATTGGCACCCTCTGGCATCGGCCTGGTTTGGGTCAGGCTTTCCCCGGTCGGGGTCGGCATTTTCCTGGTTTGTGTTGGACCTTCCTTGGCGGGGGTCAGGATTCCCATGGCTGGGATCAGCCTTTCCCTGGCTGGGCTCACAGGAGGCACACAGGGAAGGACTCCTGGTGCTGGAGCTGGGTGGGTGCTGCCGGATTCCGGAGCATCCCGGTGCTGCACGTGGATTTATGGCCAATTTCTGAACAAGACCCCACCCCCCACACCACTCGTAGCCATTTTCCCAGCATCCATGGGAGTGACAGCCTTTCCCAGGGCTTCCCCATTTGGCTGAGTCCAACGGGACTCCGGGGTTGGACCGTGAGATGGACAAGGAGAGACCTTGGGATTGAAAGCATCCTTGGGATTCCAGGGAGGAAAATGGTTTCTTCCTCCAGCAGGAGCATCCCAGGGGTGAGGGATCTGTGGGAAGAGGGCTGGGATACTGTTGGGACACTGCTGGGACAGGTAGGACATCCCAGGGGTGAGGGATCCATGGGAAGAGGGCTGGGATTCTGCTGGGATCCTGCTGGGACAGGCAGGAGCATCCCGAGGGCAAGGGGTGGTGGCTCCGAGCGCGTCCCGGCTCCTCCTTCCCTCCCTCCGCCCCTCCCCGGCTGTTGCTGTAAATAGGGACTATTTATATAAATATATTCCAGAGGTTTCTAAAGGCCCCCGAATCCTGTTTTCCTCAGAGCTTTTGGCTTTGCCGAGAACTCCTCGAGCAGGAGATTTGCACCTTCCAAGGGCGTCGGTACAAACGAGCCCAGTCCGACCCACCGCAGGTACTGGGCGGGGCCGGGAATTCCGGGGGAATTCCAGGGGGCCGAGGGCTGACAATGGAACGACTCGTTCCCTTTTTACCCCGTTCCCGTTCTCCCCGGCCGGAGCAGCCCCAGGGTGTCCCTGGCGCTGGCCTCGGGCTCACGGAGCAGGTCGTGGATTTTCCCTTTTGTTCCTTGTCTCTGTCTTTGCCTTTCGTGTCCGACCCGGGAGCGGCGGCGGTTGGGAGGAGTTTGGGTGGAAAGGCCAAGTTTTATGGACATTTTTCTGGATCTGATGTTTTCCAAACCTTTTCTTTATCCCACGCCAAGTCCTGGCACGGGATCTGCTCCAGGCGGTCGTGGAGTGGGTGATATCCATGATATCCGTGATCACCCCCCCAGTCTCCAGGGCTCCGGGGGGGCTGTACAGGGGGAATCTGCTCCGAGGAATCCCCACAAATCCCTCCGTAGGCTCCTCACCCGCCCACGGACACGGGGGAATATTCCACATTCGTTGCTGTTCAGTTGGAGCTGCTGGAGTGGCGTCTCCAGGGCTTTCCATCCCTCCCAGGGGTTTGTTGGGCTCCGGGTCAGTGGGAACGTTCGACTCTTTGACTGTTAAGCACAAACCAGGGGTTGAGGGCCCATCCCCCGGGAAAACCCTCCGGCTGAGGGACCTGAAATTCCCGTTCAAACTAAAAATGAACCAAAACTGGTGGGGTTTTAAGTTGTTCCTGGTTTCTGGGAGAGCTGGAGGCTCTGGGAACACAGGGGGGCCTGGGAGCTGCCAGGGCCATCCAGGCAGCTCCAGAGGGAGCAGATTCCATCCGGGATGGTCCGTGGCCATCCCTCAGTTCTTGGCCTTGGCTCTTTGGGATAAGCCCTTGGGAATGGCCCCCTCTGCCGTCCCCGTGTCCCAGCCGAGGCAGAGCTAATTCCAGGCTGTGGGATGTGAGGTGGAGCCTTTCCTGAGGACTGGAGGCCCCATAAATCCAGCAATCCCAGCAGGGGAAGGCGCTGCCGCCGTGGGGATGGGGATCCGTGGATTTGGGAATGTTGCAGTGGTGGTACCGGGCCCAGGTTTCCAGCGTCGCTCCGCAGCTCCTTTTCCCGCTCTTCCCAAAATCCCGTCGTGGTGTCCGGACTTTCCCTGGAAATCTGCCCGGCGGGGCTGTCCCGAGGGAGGGGTTTTCCTGGTGGGAAGAGCGAGTCGGGGGCACTCGATGCCTTTCCCGCCGTGCCGGGCCCAAGCTCTGTAAAGCAATAAAACCACGGAGCGGCCCCGAGGGAGGGAAATCCCGGGAGCTGATCCCGAATCCCGGGAGCTGATCCCGGGAGCTGATCCCGGCCTGCTCCAGGCGGCCTCTCCAGGGGGAAGGGGCAGCACAGGGGGTGCCCCCGGGGGTCCTTAATTAGTGCAATGACGTGGGGGAGCCTTTTCTCATGATGCCAACTGCCCTTAAATGTTGAATCCGGGTCTTTGTAAGCAATGTCTGTGTATTATGTGTATATATGAGGGACAAATTTTAAATTACTGCCTTTTGCCCTGTTTATTTTTCTGAGTAATTCCAGATGTACTTTAGTCTCTCTACTGTCAAAACTTTTATATTGTAAATCTGATGCTGGTGGCTTTTTGGTTATTTTGGTTTTTGGTTTGGATTTTTTTTTTGGTGGGTTTTTTTTCGGTTTGGTTTTTTTTTTTTTTTTTTTTGTAAAAAAGCAACGAAAAAAGACAAGAAAAAAAAAGAAAAAGGAAAAACAACAAAAAAAAGTCTGCATCTCTCTATGTTGTCAGTTTTAGGCTGTAAATTCCAACTATCAATAAAAGCTCAAAATTCACGTGCCAGTGGTGGGTTCCTCGTCCTGCAGGACACGCCGGCAGAGCTGGGATGGATTTGGGGCATCCCAGCTCCTGGAGAAGGTACAAAGGCACAGGGGCTGAGGTGACCCTGCTGCTGCCCTGGAGCACCACGGAGCACATCCACAGGGCTCCTAAATCCCCCCGGGGTGGGGACTCCCCCCTGCCCTGGGCAGCTGTGCCGGGGCTGGACAGCCCTTTCCAGAAGGAATTTCCCCAGTGCCCAACCTGAATTTCTCCTCTTTTCCTGGAGGTGATTCTGCTGCAGGTCCTGAGCCCAGGCAGGGACCCAGCACAGCTGAGCCTTGGTGACACCGACAGGGGCTCCTCAGCCCAGTCCCTCAGAGAGGGGCAAATCCCAGGATCCCTGAGGTTGGAAGAGCCCTCCCAGCCCATGGATCCCCCCTGGGCCCCATCCCCACCTTGTCCCCCAGCCCAGAGCACTGAGTGCCACGGCCAGGCCTTCCTGGGACACCTCCAGGGCTGGGCACTCCAAACCTCCCTGGGCAGCCCCTGCCAAGGCCTCCCCACCCTTTCCAGCAACAAATTCCTCCTCAGCCCCAACCTGACCCTCCCCTGGCCCAGCCTGAGGCCGTTTCCCCTTGGCCTGTCCCTTGTTCCCTGGCAGCAGAGCCCGACCCCCCCCGGCTCCCCCCTCCTGGCAGGTCTGATGGGTGGCAGGAGGGACAGAGCAGATCCAGCACAGGACAAAGGTCTGTCCGTGTGTCCAGTGCTGTGCCAGGATCCCTCCCTGAGCTCTGTCCCAGGACACAGGACAGTGAATCCCGAGGGCCGGAGCTCAGCCTGGATCCAGTGCCTGCCGTGGTGTTTTCCCAGTTCCGGAGGCTCAGAGGGACAAAAGGGCGTCTGTCATATTAATTTTTTTATTAAATTCCGTTAGTTTTCTCTTTATAGAATAACCTTTTCCTCTAGGCACAAATACAATACAAGGACTCTGCATGTTTGACACAATGTACAGAAACTTCAATAATCTACAACTGCTCAGGTAAGTTACAAACCTCCGTGTTACACCTGCACAGCCGGGCGGGGGCAGTGAACGGGGACTGTACAAGGGGCTCTGCACGGGGAAAGGGGCTTTAAAAACAACACGGGGGGTGGGGGGGCAGTCTGGGGGCGCCGGGGGGGTCCGGGGGGCAGCGGGGCCAGAGAGACCACACGGTGCCGGGTCGGGCTCCCCCCACGGCCCCTGGGCTGGGGCTGAACCCCCCAGTTCACACCAGTGCGGGGGGGCTGCAGGAGCAGGGTCTGTACCGAGGGTCCCCCTCACTGACACGGCAGCAAGCGGGGAGGGGTGAGGGGGGACACGGACCTGCCCTCCGGGGGGCCGGGGGCTCCAGCCAAGCCCCCCAGGCAGAGCACAGAGGGGGGAACATGGGGGGCTTCGGGGCAAGGGACAGCCCTGGGGTGGGGGGAGAAGAGCTCAGCGTGTGTGGTGCCCTCCTGGTGCTGCCCCCCCTTCACACAGGGGGTTCTGGGGGGTGACCTGTGCAAAGAGACCAGGTGGCACCTGCAGGGCCACTGTCCCGGCCTGTGCCAGCCCCGTCATCGCCACCGCCCGGAGGGGACCCTCACCCTGGGGAGGGGGCTGGGCTGGTCCCCCCCGGCACGAGGGGTCAGAGGGGCACCCAGGAGGCTCCAGCGTTTGGCACCTCCCACAGGGAACGTGCCCCCCCCGGGACAGCCGGTCTGGCCGTGGAGGTAGAGACTGTCCCAGCCAGCACAGGGACCCCGGCACAGCCCGAGGGGGCTCCAGCCACGGCCACGGCCACGGCCACGTCCCCTCCGGGACACGGCGCCTGCAGCATCCCAGCATTCCCGATCCTGTGTGGGAGCGCGGGGGCTCCGGGGCTGGGACACAGGACGTCCCAGGGCTCCGCTGTGTCCCCTCCGCCATCCCCTGCGCTGCACATCCCCGGGGACGGGAGCGGAGCCCAGGACACGCTCCCGGTGGGAGGAGCAGGGCAGGTTCCGGGGGGCTCTGGCAGGACATGCAAGTGGTGGCAGGATGAGGGGCAGCTCCTGCTCCTCCAGCAGTGGGGGGTGGGGGCGCGGGGCCAGGACCCCCCTGCCCAGGGCGCGGGATGGGGCTCGGGCACACGGAGGACACGGAGTCACGACAGGGCTCAGACAGGGCCGGGCGGGGCCGGGTCCCCCCGCCCGCTCCAACGCGAGGGATGCCTTAGGAATCCCTCCCTGCGCCGTCCTACCCCCGGGAAACGGCCCCGCCCTGCCCGGGGCGGGCGGGAGGAAGGCCATCCCCTCCTCTCCTCAGTCCCAGGCTCAGGCAGAGCCTGGCGCTGCCTCTGCTCCCGGCTCGGGGCCGGCAGCCGTGCCTGGAATTGCGGCTCCGCGGGGCCGCTCACGCGTCCGACAGGCAGCTCTGGATGCGGTCGATCCACTGCTGGGCCAACTGCACGTCCTGGGCGCAGAAATTGTAAACTCGTTTTGTCGTCTTCAGCTGCGGGACGGGAGGGGGAGGGGGTGAGCGGGGCCGGGAGCTGAGCCAGGCGGGGCCCCTCAGCCCGCTCTGCCCTCCCACCATCCCGGGGCACGGCCTGGGCAACCTCCCCTGGGATCCGCTCCCTGCCTGTGGCCTCAGGGGCCCAGTTAAGCTCAGCCTGGGTTATTCAGCTCCACTTGAGCAGTGATGCTGCTCTCAGCCACTCCCACTGACCACAGCCCTATTCCCACCTGATTTTCTCATCCCCACCACCTTCCTGATGGCACCACAGCCGGAGCCTGGAGTGTCCGGTGGGGCCGTGGCTGCCCAGCGTCCCCCAGGGCACACTCACATCAAAGAAGGCTTTCTCATCCACTGTCTTGGGGGCCCCCATGGTGGGGGTCCCCGGGGTGATGGACTCCACCTCGGCCAGGTCGATGACCCCTTTGCACTCCGTGTCCATCCGGCTGTCGTAGTACCGGAGCTGTGGGAGGGAGGATGCGCCTGTCAGGGTTTGGGATGGATGGGATGGATGGGATGGAGGGACAGGACAGACCCCGGGGCCCCCCCGCCCCCCAGTACCTGATGTTTGGTTTTATCCAGCACGAACCAGCGAGGCTTCCACGGCTTCATGAAGGCGCCTTTCTTGTACAGGGAGCCCTCGTAGGACCTGTGGGTGGGAAGGAGCACCGGGAACAGGGATCAGGGACGGGAACCCACGGAGGGCCGTGCCCTGCAGCACTTCACCCCCCAGGGAGGGGTCCCCCCAGCCCCCCGAGCCCCCCCTGCCTGTTCTCGCTCTCGGAGGTCTGGAACTGGCTGTAGAGGGTGGAGGTGCTGCGGCGCCCGCCCGGCTTCCCGCTGGACGGGGTGGAGGTGCTGCTGGTGTCGCTGTCCAGGCTGAGGTTGAGGGTGGAGCCCACCCCGCTCTCCTGCAGGTACACGCCCAGCGAGCGCCGGTGGTGGGACAGCCCCGAGGACATCAGGAGGGAGCTGGGGGTCTGCAACAGAGGGAACGGCGTGACGGGGAGGGGGCTGTGACCCCCGGGAGCCCCAGCGTGGGGCTGAGCACCAGCACTCAAACCAGCACCCAGAACAGCACCAGCACCCAGAACCAACACCAGCACTCAGAACCAGAACCCAGCACTGAGTACCCAGCACCGAGACCCCTCCCTGGCCCTGGAGTTGGGGAGCAAACAGCCCTTTGCTCAGGGCACTGTGGGTAAAGCCACTCCTGTTCTCCAGCCCATGCCAGAGCCCTGCCACAGCCCTGTCACACCCCCACCTACCCTGCTGCCCTCCTGCCGTGCCTCAGTTCTCTGCGACGCTTTCACCCCGTCCCACGTCTCCTTCCAGCGCTCCTGGACGTGCCCCAGCTCCGTCTTCAGGTTGTGCAGCTCCTGTGGGGGATTCGGGCATCAGCCCCGTTGGGGACAAGATTCCTGGCACCGCTGTCCCCATCCCGGGGACCCAACCGAGCCCAGCCCTGCCGGAGCCGTGTCCCTGTGTGTCCCTGTGTGTCCCTGTGTGTCCCCCCCCGTGTCCCCCCCGAGCCCTGACCTGCAGCAGCCTGGAGATGGCGTCGGGCTCCACACGGCTCCGGTTGTCGTAGCAGGGCCAGATGATCCTGCGCTTGCTCTGGGGGGCTCCGGTGTCCTGCCGGTCCGGCTCCTCCACGTGCTCCGGCTGCCCCTGCGTCAGCTCCCAGTCGTAGGAGGGGCCCTCGGACAGCGTCTCCTCCGTGTAGTAATCCCACACCTTCAGGTTGGAAATGTTGCTGTACGGCCTCAGCACCTGTGGAACGGGCAGGGTTGGGATCAGGAAGGACATTCCCGGCCAGGCTGAGGGGACAATGTGTCCACATGGAGATTTGGGGTGTCCAGCCTGGAGAAGAGAATGCTCAGGGAGAGCTGAGAGCCCCTTGCAGGGCCTAAAGGGGCTCCAGAGAGCTGGAGAGGGACTGGGGACAAGGCCTGGAGGGACAGGACACAGGGAATGGCTTCCCAGTGCCAGAGGGCAGGGAGAGATGGGATATTGGGAAGGAATCCTTCCCTGGGAGGGTGGGCAGGCCCTGGCCCAGGTTTCCCAGAGAAGCTGTGGCTGCCCCTGGATCCCTGGAAGTGTCCCAGGGCAGGTTGGAGCAACCTGGGCTGGTGGAAGGTGTCCCTGCCCATGGCAGGGGTGGCACTGGGTGGGCTTTAAGGTCCCTTCCCTGGTGGGCAAACACCAACTCCAGCCACTCTAGCAGGGAGGAGACCCCATCCAAGCCCCCCGGATGCCCCAGGAGAGGAGCTCTCACCTCCCCATCCTCGGGAGCGAACATGTAGTTGAAGAACACGGGAGTTTTCCTGTTGATCCGGTCGATGTAATCCCAGATGGATTTGTGGACCTGCTGGCTCTTCCTCTCGCCCTTCTCCTCATACAGGAGCCCTGGGGGGCACGGAGGGCAGAAGGGGTGTTATTTGGGGTGGGGGTCTGGCTGCCCCCCCCGTGGGCCCCCCACGGTGCCCTCACCCAGCTCGATCCGCTCGTAGTCCGAGTCCAGCAGGAATGTCCGGAATCGGTTGGAAATGTAGTGGTAGCTGAGGAACTTCAGGTAGTACTGGCTGAACTCGAACTCCATGGGGAACTGCAGGTGGATCTGTGGGGAGCGGCGAGGTGGGACCCCGGGACCCCAAAGCACACGGAGCTCTGGGCCCCTCCCACTGCCCCTGGAGCGCTCCCGACGTTCGGGGGTCCCGGTGGGTGCCTGGGGGCCCCGCTGGCACAGATCCCGGGGCTCACCTGGTGCACACAGTCCAGGAACTGCAGGAAGATGGGGGCGAAGCCGCTGCTCTGCCCCGCCAGGGTCTGGGCACCGCGGTGGCTGAAGCGGTGGCCGAAGGAAAGCCACTCCTTCTCCACCAGCAGCCGGAACCCCTCCAGCGTCCGGTAGTACCGGTCCGAGAGGAGCTGCACCAGTGACACCACCTGCGGGGACAGGGACAGGGACAGGGACAGGGGGCTCCAGGCACTGCTGGGGGGGCCCACGGCCACCTCGGGCCCTGGTGGGCTCTCACCTGCGTGGTGATGTCCCAGCCGTCCTCCAGACTGACCAGCACAGAGGAGCCCGTGTCCAGCAGCTCCACCACCAGCACCGAGATCTGCAGGATCTTGTGGATCTGCCAAGGGCAGGGCCAGGAGTTAGGAGGGCGCAGGGAACTCCTGTGCTGGGTGCTGGGGCACTGTCCCCTTCTCCCAAGCAAGGCCACGCTCGGGAGTCACACGGGGCCACAACCCCACACTTGGACATGGCAGTGGCAGCAGAGCCAGGAGACCCTCACTCCCCCCAGCAGCCAGAGTGGGACCCCTCCCACAGCTCACTCTGGGACCAGTCTCACCAGGCAGCTGCCACCCGGTGACCCCAGTCACTGCTGGCACTGCCTCGTCCCAGCCCCTCCAGGGAGGCGTTTCCTGGGGGTCCTGTCTGGGTTCCCCACCCAGCAGCTGCCCCGGACCTGAAGTGCCCACGTCCAGCACCACGGAGCAGAGCTCTGGATTGTTCCAGCCCTGTCCCTCACACCAAGCCGTGTCCCCCACTCCGTGTCCCAGGGGTGCTCTGGGCAGGGCACCGGGACCCCGCTCCTCGGGTGGCCGGGAGGGCAGAGCACAGGAGCCCACGGCCCCGGGCAAAGGGGGGGACAGGACCCAGGGCTGTGCGTGAGCCTGACCTGGGAGAGCCACTCCGACTCCTCCAGGGAGCGCAGGTAGGCCACGCTGGGGTCGCTGGAGGGGCAGCCGGGCACACAGGCCTTCATCAGCTTCTTGAAGCTGGCCTTGACCTGCCGCACGTCGAACACCTCGATGGGAACCACCTCCCAGTGCTGCAGCGGGTCCGGCTTCACCCCCTGGGGGAGCAGAGAGTCAGGATGTCCTGAGGGACACCCCCAGCAGAGCCACCACCACCCTCAGGATCACGGAACCGCTGAGGTTGGAAAAGCTCTCTGAGATCACCAACTCCAACCCTCCCCCAGCACTGCCAAGGCCACCACTGACCCACATCCCCAAGTGCCACATCCATACAGCTTGGAAATCCCTCCAGGGCTGGGGACTCCCCCTGCCCTGGGCAGCTGTGCCAGGGCTGGACAGCCCTTTCCAGAAGGAATTTTCCCCAACATCCAACCTGACCTTCCCCTGGCACAGCTTGAGGCCATTTCCTCTAATCCTGTTACTTGTTTTTTGAGAAAAGAGCTTGACTCCCCCCCCCTCGGCTCCCCCCTCCTGGCAGGGACTTGCAGAGCCAGAAGGTCCCCCCTGAGCCTCCTTTGCTCCAGGATGAGCCCCCCCAGCTCCCTCAGCCGCTCCTGCTGCTCCAGCCCCTTCCCAGCTCCGTTCCTTTCCCCAGCCCTGTTCCCCCGCGGGCCGTGCCGGGGGTGGGGTCACCTTCAGCTGGGACTTGTCGCCGATGATGTAGAGGGAGGCGCGGTGCTGCCGCAGGAAGGTGGTCTCGGCGGGGGTCCCGTTGTGCTGGGCCCCCAGCAGGTCCTTCCCGGCCAGGCGGGACCCGATCTCCACGTTCAGGGCGTAGCTGCTCATGCGGCCGCTGGCCCGGATGCTGCCCCACTTCCCTGCGGGAGCCACGGGACGGGTCGGGATGCGGGTCCGGGGGCTCACCCCCAGCCGGGGGGCCACAGGGCGAGCGGGGGGCCGAGTGCTGCGCCCCCCAGCCCAGCCCTGGGAGCACATGACGGGGACGTGCTGGGCACCAGGTTTGCTTTGGCTCCTGCTGCCTGCTGGGTGCTGCAGGAATTCCTGCCCGCTGGATTCGGAGCCTGACCCCGGCTGCTCCACGTCCCATCACTGGCATTGCCAAACCACGCTCTGGCATCGCTGGGACCCGCCCCTGCACCCCGACCGTGCCACCGGCACCCAGCCCTGGCACCGCACCCAGCCCTGGCACCGCACCCAGCCCTGGCACCGCCACCCGGCACCCGCAGCGGCACGAGGAGCCCAAAGCAAACCTGGCGAGGCTGCCCGGTACTTACCTGTGCCCGTGGCACGCTCGGAGCAGGCGTGGGGACTGAGGGGGGTTACTGGGGCATTAGTGGTGTGAGGGGTGGCAGTGGGGGGTCAGTGGGTCAGTGGGTGCCCGGGCAGGTCGGGCGGCCGCGCTTTCGTACCTCGGGGCGTCTCTCGGCCCTTCGGCGACGCGCACTTGGGGGTGGACAGGGTGATGACCCGGGCTCTGTGACCCAGCCCTGGGGGCACAGGACAAAGCGAGCTCAGCGAGGGACGGGGCGGAGCGATGGACAACGGGTGGGATGGAGGCGATGGCGCCGGGGGTGCGGCGGGTCCCTCCCCCCCTCCCTGCGGCCGCCCCGCGGAGCAGAAGCGGCTGCTCGGCTCGGGGAGCGTCTACTCTACGAGAGCTGCCCGGACCGGGGGTCTCGGCGAGGCCCCCCGAGGCAGCGACCCCCCACACGTCCTCACCTCCGCGGCTAAAAGTCCCAGGCCCTTCGTCCTTCCCTCCCATCACCTGCTTCATGAGCGATCCCAGCTTAGGCTGCTGCCTCTTGTCGGAGAAATCTGCAGCACCAAGAGAACGTCAGCTCCCGAGGGCCCTCCCGGCCTCCCCTCGGCTGCCCCGAGGGAGGGGAAGGGGCTCAGAGAAAGCGGCAGCAAGCGGAGCCCCCCGGAGCCCTGGGGCCGGGATGCAGAGCCCAGTGCGCGGGAAGCACCGTCCCCCCGAGCCAGGGAAGCACCGTCCCCCCGAGCCAGGGAAGCACCGCGCACCCGGAGCCAGGGAAGCACCGTCCACCCGGAGCCAGGGAAGCACCGTCCCCCCGAGCCAGGGAAGCACCGTCCCCCCGAGCCAGGGAAGCACCGCGCACCCGGAGCCAGGAGCCAGAGCCCAGCGTGTGGGAAACACCGTCCAGCTGGAGCCACGGCCAAGAGGCGCCTGGTGCGGCCGTGTGGGAGGGGGCTCGACCCGGCCCTGCCCCCCCGGGTGGGGGATCACCCTGTCCCAGCCCCTGCCCTGCCCCCCCAGCGCTGGCTGAGCCCCCTCCTCCGGGCACGTCCCCCCGCCGGGGGGCTTCGGAGGGGCTGTCGGCATGTCCTTTATCCTCCCCGCCTCAGGGACCCCCCAGCTTCCACCCCCCTTGAAGCGATGATGGGTGGAATGGCTGGGACGGGATGGAATGGCTGGGACAGGATGGAATGGTTGGGACAGGATGGAAAGGCTGGGACGGGATGGAATGGTTGGGACAGGATGGAAAGGCTGGGACAGGGCGGTGGGTGCTGGAGCAGGGCGGTGGGGGGAGCTCTGTCCTGCAGGGAAGGGCCGACTGGGAAGGGCTGACTGGTGGGGCATCAAGGTGTGCCCGCACTTACCGGGGGTCCCCGGACAGACCCCAGCCGTGTGCGTGGGGGGCACACGGTGCCGACATCCCGGCTGGAAGGGTCTGTCCCCGCCGGCCCCGGCGAGTGCCTGGATCCCAGCACAGGCTGGATCCCAGTGCTTGCAGCTCCAGGGACACCGGGGCTCCCAAATCCCTCAGGGCTCCCAGTGCCCAAAGCACCCATCCCCACCACCAGCCACAGAGTCCCAGCTGGAGTTTGGAGCTCCAGAGAGTGCACTGAGGGCTCCCAGTGCTCACAGATCCGGGGACATTGGGTCTCCCAAACTCCCTGGGGCTCTCAGTGCTCACAGGTCCACAGCCACTGTGTCTCCTGAAACCAGGGCTCCCAGTGTTCACCAGGTGTCCCAAAACCCAACCCCACCACCAGCCACGGGGATCCAGCTGGAGCTGGGAGCTCTGGAGAGGCTCTGCCGCCTCCTTGGATGCCAGAGCCTGGGAGAGCAGGTCACTTGGGATGTACAGCAGGACCCAGGGCTGGCAGGAGCCCACCTGCATCCCCCCACCCCTCTCCGTGCCCCCCTCCCTCACCTGTACTGCTCATGTGTGCCGAGGTGAACCCGCTGAGCGTGTTGCGCCCGCTGGCATCGGAATAGTGGGGCATGGAATTGATCACGGCCTGCAGGTACTTCTCCTGCTCCAGACTCGTGGAATCCGTCTGGGAGGGACCTGGATGGGGAGACCCCCGAGTGTGACCACCCCAGAGCCCGGGGGGGCCCCGCAGCCCCTGCGTTCCCGGGGCGGGGGGACGGGCACCTGCGGTCGGGGCGTTCTGGGACTTGAAGAGGCCGACGACGCCCTTGCCGTGGAGCCCCCCCGAGCGGAGCAGCACGGCCTTGGTGCGGGAGTTCCTCCAGCACACCACCGGGAAGCGGTTCTGGCGGTAGCAGCGGGAGATGCGCTGGATGGTGTTGTCCGGGATGCTCTGCGGCACGATGAGCAGCCCGGGGTAGCTGCGGGGCAGAGCGGGGCTCAGCGGGGTCC